TCCGTCAACCTAAACAATAATCTAACGATCTCTACTGATTGTACGAATCGAAAAATCGGATAATTCTTTATCTTTAGGGAAAGATAATTCCACCTACTTCAGGGCCGTTTTTACAATTCCCTTTGCAATTTGTCACAAGGCAGATCAATAAGGCATTGGTTCTATTTGAAAATTCAATATTTAAAAGAAAGTATTAAGAAATAATTTAAAAATGCCGATGTAAGAAATCTGATAGACAAAAAACAACAATATTTCGAAGATGATATTTATTAAGGAAAGAACACAGTACTTGTAATAAATTAATAAACCCAAATAAAGTTAATATTTTTTGTATTAGAAACAACGAGTGGAAAATATATTCAAATCAGAATTCTAATTATGAATCACCACAAGTAAATATGCAATTTCTTTTACTGTATTCAATAAGGAAAAATCATAAATTGTAAAAGATTACAGAGAATGGCTAGCTACATTTTTCAACCGATTTCAACAAAACTTCACTTTTTTTTGGCAGGTAGTGTTTCTTATTGTCTTGCACATTTTTTCTTTATTTTTACATTCAGAATGCTTTAAAAATTCCATTTACAAGACAATTGTTTATAATAAAATTCTATTCATCAATCGATAGACTCATAACGATTGTAAACATTGTTTTTGTTTGAGTTTGGGTTTGACCAATTCGTAAAAAAAAAAAAAAAAAACTAATTAAGACATACGTGTCCGTCAACCTTAAACAATAATCTAACGATCTCTACTGATTGTATGAATACAAACATCGGAATAAATTCTTTATATTTAGGGAAAGATAATGAAATCTAAACATACACAAGTCCTAACTAAAAATAATATCCGGAACGGGAAACTACTTTAAATGCACGTGGTGTCCAATTTTTTTACTGTATTCAATAAGTAAAAATCATAAATTGTAAAAGATTATTATTACAGAAAGGCTACTAAATGAATAAGATTTGTTAGATCTTAATCAATAAACCCAAATAAAGTTAATATTTTTGTATTAGAAACAGCGAGTGGAAAATATATTCAAATCAGAATTCTAATTATGAATCACCACGAGCAAAATATACAATATTTTTACTGTATTCAATAAGTAAAAATCATAAATTGTAAAACTAAAAGATTACAGAAAGGCTACCTACACTTTTCAACCAATTTCAACAAAACTTCACTTTATTTTGGCGTGTAATGTTTCTTATTGTCTTGCACACTTTTTTCTTTATTTTTACATTCAGAATGCTTTAAAAATTCCATTTACAAGACAATTGTTTATAATAAAATTCTATTCATCAATCGATAGACTCATAACGATTGAAAACAATGTTTTTGTTTGAGTTTGGGTTTGACCTATTCGTCAACAAAAAAAAAAAAAACACTAACTAAGACATGCGTGTCCGTCAACCTTAAACAATAATCTTTGTCAATTTTATTTTTCAGTCTTTATGATGGTGGATACTTGATCTATCTCTTACTGTTATATCCCCGGGCAACGCCGGGCTCTACTGCTAGTTCTCTTATATAAACGGCTTCAATGATTTTTAGCTATTGGCTATTATTGTTTTTATGTAATATAGATGCATTTTCAACTAATATCCGTACAATCTGTGACTGTGTGCGTGAGTCTTCTTTTAAATGCTGAGTTATTGAACTATGCACTGCTAAATGAAATCTAAGCCTTTTTTGTTAGCATTGTCGTAGTTAAGCCAACTTACGTATTGACACTTTTATCACAGATAAAATATCCTAAAGGACAATTAAATTGATATACAGTAATAATAATAATAACTAATATATATATATATATATATATATATATATATATATATATATATATATATTATTATTATTATTATTATTATTAATACATATATGAAATTTATCACTTAGCTCATTGATGTTATATTCAGCACGCTGACTCAGAGGTTCGTAGATGAAACTTTTTTTTTTCAAATCGTTCGGTCCACTCGATATGAGACGTTATTTTTATATTATGTGAAAATAATTTATGGTCTTTTTTATTTTTGTTAGGTTCTACATGTATATATTCTGTAATATTCATGTCTGATATTTTATTAGCACATCTCGAAATCGACAGTGTTTTTATGCAATATGCTTATGTTATATTGGCAATGTCGATTAAACAGTCGAGATTGAACGCATGGCGATGACGAGTAAATTTAAGCGAAATTGGAAGACATCATGTAAATGATAGATTGACGGTGTCACATAGTTTTTATATTCATGAGTCAGTTTTGAAAGTTAAAGTTGAGCGCTGCTCAAATTAGACATCCACAGGACGTTAAACTGCTTCTCTAGAGGATGATAGCGAAACCGCTTCAAGTTGAAAGACACAGAGCCAGTCTGAATGTCACATAGCCAAACATATTCTGTCAGTTTATAACCAGATCGATGTGTACAAGAAAAGCCATTTGGTCAGTTCTATTTTTTGCATTCAGCTTCTATTCCTAGAAAGTATAAGTCGAAAGGATCATCGTAGTTGTCCTGGTCTTTTCCTCGACCAAACCTTCCGACCTTTGCGTTTAAGTATTTTACCGCCAGCTAAAATCAAAATCGTAACCCCCCCCGCGCCAAAAAAAAATGTCTGTTATGCTCATGAATAAGAGTTACCTCCAGGTTTCTACCATGTTAAATAGAAAAAAAAAACAAAAAAAAAACTTAAAAGAAAGAGAGAAATCCAAAGACAAAATAATACAAAGCGTTGAAGTGTATGTTTTAGCGTATCTATAGGCTGTAACTTATGTATGAATATGGGAAGGTTATAAAATCTATTTTTTTCTTTTTTTTCACTTCACTCTCACTCTACTTTCTCTCTCTCCCTCCCTCTCTAGCTTACACTATGTAAAACATTATATGTGAATTTATATAAATGTATAATACCTATGCCCTTCTAAATCAAACATTTAGATAATAAATTTAGAATCTTCTGCACTCATGTGACGATGGGAGATCGCTTTTTTTCCTCAAAAAATGTATTTGCAAAAATATACTCACATTTACTGAAGTTAACCCTAGAACACTAACCAACAATTAAAGTTACAACACTACTAACCATGGGTATATCATACCCGTTTTGAAAATATCAAAAAAATTATTAAATATTAATCTTTATTTGAAATATTTTACATGAAGGCACTTCAAGCTTTGTACCTTGCGATAACATTAATAGGAACTGAAAAACATTATTTATGTAAGAAAATCAGGTACTGAAAATTGTAATTAAAAATAGGAGAATTTGCGCTTGGTATTATATACCCATCGTTAGTGTTCTAGGGTTAAGCAATGTCAAGACTGGTCAGTAGCTAGATGGTTAACCGCTTGTGAATACCAGGTACTGTTATCTTCGATGTGCATGTAGTGTAATATGTAATGGTTTTGGAATTGTTAAGAGCCGAGTTCTAATTTCCGTTGGCTTTGTTATATTCATTTACTCGCAAATACTCTTGGTTAAAAAAGGAGGACCCCCCCAAGTAAGTTGCATTTGTTCCCAGGCTAAAGCACGACGGAGGGTTGAAGCACTTGTTTGTGATAGTGACCTCCCAACCAAACAAAACAAAGGACTATGAAAGTATAAAAAATAGATCCTGATGAAAGAACGGAAGACAAACAGCACAAAAATAATTATACCAGATTTTTTTTTCTTCTTGCTTTCTCATTCTTTGATGAAGTTTTAATAAAAGTAGAACATCTAAGATTGATAAACCTTTCCTATTTGTTCATTATCTTATCATTCTTTCGGATTCTGATCTCTGTTTGATCTGTATTTCATCCCAATTGAAGTTAAGCTATATTTATGGGTACACACCCTGTATATCATATATAGAGTGTATGTAAATAAAAAAAATGGCACTGATGTCATCATCGAGCAGCCACATTTATGACTGACGACAATTTTCGTCGCTTATAGATAACAGATTGTCACCGATCCCTTTTGACTTTAGTGTCCACTATATATATATATACATGTGTGTGTGTGTGTGTGTATTCCGTCATTAACAGTAGTATTTACTCTGATGAAGTGCGTTCCAAGAAATGCTTTTCGAAACGTGGAACATGGGAATTTTCTATTCTTCCTCAATTATGTCTAGTACTGTGTGTCTATCACAGTTTGGGCAAAGGTGAATTTTTCTGGATGCCTTCATTCTTAACAGACAAATAGTATTATATTTTCCTCTTCTCATATTTGTTACTCTTATTCTGACCGAACTCTCTGTCTGCCTCCTCTTTCTCTCTCTCTCTCTCTCTCTCTATATATATATATATATATATACACACACACACACACACACACACACATATACATATATATATATATATATATATATATATATATATATATGCACTTGTAAATGCGTCTATAAGTGAAGGATGTAACAATTTAGAGAAGTATTACCTGTAAGTATTTCAGGGAGAGCCAATGTCATTTTCATAATTTGCTATTGTCTTAGCGCTGGAAGTGTTACACCGTTGGAATAGCAGTGTCAATATGAGAAAGCTTTCTGATTAAAGCCGAACGAATACGCATTCATCTTGTTAATGCTTTTGAGGATATATTTATTGGATATCATAAGGATAAGTGGTTTACTTTACTCATCCATTGATAACCTGGAGAGAAACCTGCACTTTCTGTCACCTGGAATGACGGAAATATTCCGGGGTCTTGGCTTAAGAACACTTGATATTTGGATAATGGAATTCGGCCATATTTAAACCTCGTTTCATTTCCTCTGTTATTTTGCTAAATAAGGAAACCATTTCGCAGCGCTGCATTTTCTAATTCATTAATTGTGCTGATGAAGCCGTTTTATTTTCAGATGTACGTTTTTTTTTTGTTTTCTCCTTCTTTCATGTCCCTTTTTTAAAACTATTTATTTCTTTATTTCCTTGTTTTTTTTCTTGCTTCCTCACATTCTATCCTTTATTCTTTCTTTCTGTCGATATTGTATTCCTGTTATTTTTAATGAAACATGTTATCTATCTTCATGCCGACATTTCGGTCTTTCTTGTTTTCTTTCTTTCTTCCTTTCTTTCTTTCAATATTGCATTCCTGTTTCTTTGGAACAAACATGTTATCTTTCTTTCTTTCTTTCTTTCTTTCTTTCTTCCAAAATTTTATTCCTGTTTCTTTTGAACAAACATGTTATCTTTCTTTCTTTCTTTCTTTCTTTCTTTCTTTCTTTCTTTCAATATTGTATACCTGTTTTTTTTAACAAACATTTTATCTTTCTTTCTTTCTTTCTTTCTTTCTTTCTTTCTTTCTTTCTTTCTTTCAATGTTGTATTCCTGTTTCTTTTGAACAGACATGTTATTTTTTTCTTTCTTTCTTTCTTTCTTTCTTTCTTTTTTCTTTCTTTCTTTCAATATTGTATACCTGTTTTTTTTTTAACAAACATTTTATCTTTCTTTCTTTCTTTCTTTCTTTTTTTTCTTTTCTTTCTTTCTTTCTTTTTTCAATGTTGTATTCCTGTTTCTTTTGAACAGACATGTTATTTTTCTTTCTTTCTTTCTTTCTTTCTTTCTTTCTTTCTTTCTTTCTTTCTTTCTTTCAATATTGTATACCTGTTTTTTTTAACAAACATTTTATCTTTCTTTCTTTCTTTCTTTCTTTCTTTCTTTCTTTCTTTCTTTCTTTCAATGTTGTATTCCTGTTTCTTTTGAACAGACATGTTATTTTTCTTTCTTTCTTTCTTTCTTTCTTTCTTTCTTTCTTTCAATATTGTATACCTGTTTTTTTTAACAAACATTTTTTCTTTCTTTCTTTCTTTCTTTCTTTCTTTCAATGTTGTATTCCTGTTTCTTTTGAACAGACATGTTATCTTTCTTTCTTTCTTTCTTTTTTCTTTCTTCCAATATTACCGTTCCTCGTTTCTTTTTGTTAAATATTTTATTTTTTCATGGTTCTGTTTTTCTTTCTTTCTCTCTTTCTTTGTTTCTTAATTTCTCTCACACTCACTCTCTTTCTTTCTTTCTTTCTTTCTTTCTTTCTTTCTTTCTTTATTTCTTCCAATGATGTATTCTTGTTTCTTTTAATCAAACGTTATTTATGTTCCTGTCTACATTTCTTTCTTTTTTCCTTATTTCTTTTTCTTTTCGCCACTTCTTTTATCCCCAGTGACTTATTACAAATATTGTCTTTTTTCGTTCTTTTCTGATGACCACCTTACCAGAGTCTTCTCCCACTTCGACGCGCCATCTGCAAACTGGGGACGACCCTGTGGCAGACCACGCAACCACTGGAAGGACCTCGTCCGCCTGTACCACCAGAAGATGCTCCGACGCTCTACCAAAACCGTAAAGATAGGGGGAGACAAGGTAGCTCGCATGGACTCAACTTCTTCATATAACATGTAAGATTTTGCAAAGAAATATTTTTCTTTTCTAAAAAAATCTTGTTCAACCGACTGAAGATAAAAATACCATGGGCAAGGAAAGAACTTATTGCCCATGGTATTTTTATCTTCAGTCGGTTGAACAAGATTTTTGTCGTTTTATATCTCTTGTGCATTCACAGACTTAATGAAGATTACACAGTAGTTAAGCGTCCATGTTTTTCTTTATTACTAAACGGTTCTATCTCATAATATTTTGTTTAGATTTCAGAAGCTATTCCTCGATATTTCTCCTTCATCTGTTACGGTACACTCTAGTAAAAGCATGTAATTTGTGCACGATATTTCAAAGCACATACTGCATGGGATGCACATTAAAAGATTATGGTACTAAATATGGAAGTTTGACTTCATCATCCTTACTCTCCTAACCTTGCTCCACCTGACTATCATCTCCTCATTGCAAAAAGAAAGAAAATATTATCTGTGAAGATGAGAGAAACAATACTGAGTCTAACTTTGTGCTAAAATTTGAAGAATTTTACACGCGAAGGATCAGTAATTTATCCAAAAGAGTCGATTATGTTATCGATAATGAGTGAAGATATTAATTAAAAATATCATTAATACTTAAGCAAATGCATTATTCCTTTTTGTAAATGTAACAGAATTTCTTTTTTCTTTGTTTTGGGGGATAATGCCCCTAAGGCGCATGAGATTACTGAGAGGAGAAGAGATTAGATGACTTTACTGACGAGAAAGCACAATAAAAGAAGAGGTTTCAGGAAAATTAACGATTCTGATAGGTTGTATTTAAATTTCGGAAGATTTAAGACTGCAAGGAAGTATGAACCTGGAAGAGAATTTCATACGTCAGAAATTCAAAAAAGTAATTTTCATGGAATTTAAGGATACATCTATCAAATTCAACAATAAAACGATAAGACCAATAGTAACAAATCTAGTATTAAGCTTAAATTCCTGTGGCTCAGTTATCCATGGGGAGAGCACATTAGAATAACTGCTATGAAAATATTTATAAAAAAGATAGAATGAAGCCACATCATGGCAGTAGGAAGTTGATTTAATTCGAAATGCCAGGTCGAGCTCGATAATATTGCATACACTTCTTTAATTTTTTTAGTGAATCTCGAAATATACAGCCGAAACATTAGAAAAGATATGCCAGTAAAACTCCATGCAAGTACCTATGTTAGATTTATAAATGTGCAAGATGAATTCTTACGACTAAAAATTGTTAATCCAATACAAATTTGAAACTCAAACCAGCATCCGCATCTTGGTTGTTATGCTCCGGATATTTCTGCGTTTATATTCACCGGCCTTCTTCAGGTGTCTCTCCTTGTAGTTGATGACTGTTGTGGGGTCCACCTCTTTTTCATATAAGTGGACTCGACCAGAGTGTTACTTGGACTGCTGCCGGTAAATAACCAGAGTCAGTCAGAATATACAAAGAGAGGGAGATTGATAGAGATTGGAAGATCGAGCATAGATTCTGATTGAGTTGGAGGTAGAGTAATAGTGTGAGGTAGCCGCTTGTAGAGGTCACAGTTACAAGCACGTAGACTCTAAGGAAGTCCTACTTCAAGACTGTGTATATATATATATATATATATATATATATATATATATATATATATATATATATATGTATGTTATTGTTGCTACTAACCGCGTTCCTGGATTTACTAATAATATTACCCATTGTTTGTCTATATTTCTGAGATGAGGTATTATGTACAGTATTTACATTAGTCGGACTATTGTCCTCATCTTTGTCGCCATATATGTCACAACGTTTCGGCCGTTGTACGCTCCGGCCTTCTTCAGGTGGTTGGAATTTCGAACTGAACCCTTTATTTCGATCACTGGGGTAGACTGTTCTAATTCCACGTGCCATGTTTGATGGATGTCAGTTATCAGTTATCTCCTGCTAATTTTCCCTCTGAAAGTTCTCCACTGCCTTAACCAGGAATTGAACTCACCTTCTTTGGGTCTTGGGTCAAGGACACATGGCACAGTGGATAAAGGCGTTGGTTAGATCCAGTGACAGACCCAAAGAAGGTGAGTTCAATTCATGGTTAAGGCAGTGGAGAACTTTCAGAGGGAAAATTAGCAGGAGATAACTGATAACAAACATCCATCAAACATGGCACGTGGAATTAGAACAGTCTACCCCAGTGATCGAAATAAAGGGTTCAGTTCGAAATTCCAACCACCTGAAGAAGGCCGGAGCGTACAACGGCCGAAACGTTGTGACAAATATGGCGACAAAGATGAGGACAATAGTCCGACTAATGTAAATACATTACCCATTGTATTATTGTGTAAATTCATTTAATTTCTTATATTTAATTCTTGCGTTTGTTCTTCATTGGAGACCGAATTTCATCTCGGAATCCACAACAATGACCTTCCGGGAATTTTGAAACGAAGCATTTATCCAACCCATGGAAGCAGAATTTTTACTCCGCACTCTCCTTTGTGTTAGCCGCTTGTCCCCAACTAATGGGCAGACGGAGGATCTCTAGAATTGTTTTGAAAAATAGTGTTGACACAGTTAAAACGCCTATGCAACCATCAGTCTGGTGGTTAGCAAGTATCGACCGAAAAAACGTACAATGATTGAAATACTAAAAAAAAAAAAAAAATCGCGTTAGTTCGCAATCTGTGGCAGTAGAAAATTGAGAAACGTTTCTATCTCATTTTTATAGCATTACGCACTCTTAGCAAATTGCCTTTGTGCTGAAAGCAACGAAGCTATTGATAGTATGACGAGATGCACTTACCCATTTCCAGTTTCGAAGAGCGTGGAACAACCTCTTAATTGCAGATGTTCCTAGGTCCATCCTGACACGACGCGTTAGCACTTGTTAGGCCCCCAACTATAGTAAAATAGTGATACCCTTAAATGAAAATTAAAATATTAGAAATGTATAGAAATACATTTTTAGTTAAATTGCCGGCAATAGATTTAAAAAAAAACAATTACCAATAATACATTTTTGTAGTGAAGTTACCAGCAATATTTTTTTCTGAAAAAAATGTACGACAATACTTTTCATATTGGAAATTTACCAACAAAGACTTGTAGCAAAACGACCAGCCGTTTATTTTATAGTAGAATTACCAGGCATAAATTTTAGAGCAGAATTACCAAGAATACATTTTTAGTAGAATTACCAAGAATACATTTTTTAGTTGAATTACCAAAAATACATTTTTAGTTGAATTACCTATAATATATTATATATTACAATTGAAGACATGATATATATTGTCAAAAAAAACAAAAAAAAAAAAAAACAAAAAAAACAACCAATTTGCTATAAATGATCACCTGTAAGGTAAGCAAGATTCACTCCACGTTGGATTTTGTAAGATTATTTGGTAAGAAAAATGCAGGTTTGTAATTATAATTTAATCGGGAAATAATGTCATTCACTTGAATTAATTATAAATGTTAAATTATAATATTTAGATCTCGTTATTAACATTTACAAATTGATATTATTTTTAACAAAAATAAACCAATAAAAATATCACTTTTCATCCTCGAATCAAATCTAGCAAATGTATTTTCTGGAAGTCATTCAAGAAGCAGCTCATCCAAAATCCTTTGGGAGCTTTTGCAGGAGATGACATATTTTCCAATTTCCACTCTCATTCCATAGTGCAAGCATGCACGCATATCTCTAATTTGTCGCTATATCTATGGAAAACGTTCAGATGAGCTTCACTCATAAGTTCCATTAGTTCAGTCATTTATAATTTGGTTTGTTCATGCTGAGACTCTGCAATCAGATCATCCATATTTCTTTCGTATTCCCTTATTAAAGAGGACATTTCACACATACATTATTTCCACGAGGACTTCTAGTTTGCGGAATAAACTACCACATGGATACTTCTGTCAGCACAACAATCGTAACTTTTTTCCCGTCAAGGGTTAATCTGTATCTATAATCTATTAATTCAAGACTTTATATGCCCAATTACGTTTATATCCCACATCATTCAGTTACCCACCTTTGTAAAAAAAAAAAAAATGCTTAGTGAAAATATATAGATACCAATACTGACTTTAGGTTACTGGTTGGAACCCGAAAGCTAATGAGTAGCAATGACAATAATAACAATAATAATAATAATAATAATTGTCAACATAATTAATGCAATACAGTTTCAACATCCTTAATAGGACTATTGTTGATATGGTTGAGAAACTTCTCAACTGCAACGGCATGCATCATCCTATGTCTGTTGTCGATTGTCTGCATGCGTACAAATCCGAAGGAGGCAGAGGATTAGTTCAACAAGGACATGTGCCATTCATTATTCATTAAAAACACCAAGAGGTAAATGGCTGCTCTATTATCAGGTACGGACATTATTTTCTTCGACTTTAGTCAAAATACAGAAAACGAATAGGGAAATATAAAAGTTTTATAAATTCTGAAAAAAAAAATTGCGTATCGTTTTTTTTTTTTTTTCTTTCAGTCAGCAATTAACACTTTTGATTTATTTTATAGTTTCCATGACCTGGTACACATTTATTGCTCAAAATTCAGTCGGAAAATTTCCCGTCAATATTGAATGTCTTGAGAATTGATTGTGCAGGCTTGAATATTACTTGGCAATCAGTCAGAATTTTAGTAAT